GCCAGACGGAGATGACGCGTTCTGCTCATGCACTCTTGTAATCAGAGAACCGAGCCAGGGAAAAACCGAGCCTCTGGAACTGGTCTACAGTTAGCTTGGTCCGGTTGTGTCCAGCTCAGTTCAGTTCAGTTTGCTTTCCATTTACACACGATAAGTTATCTCGGTTACTGAGCTCAGACCGGTCTCAGCACGGTTTTTCAAGGGTAGTGTAAATGGGGTATAAGAGGTATCTATTTTCTGACACACCTGAATCCAAAAGCTAAATTATGACCTTGTTGCCTTTTCTGTTTTAAACAAGAACCTTTTACCCATCTAAAGAGCTCAGTATTTAGTTAAAAAGTAGATTTTATACTTCTTCTTAGGTACTCCATATAGATTATATCACATAATTTCAAAAGAATGTAACAATTTTAGCTTTAGTAGATATCATCCAGTGCTGTAGAGGGCGATGTACGACTGTGAGGCATCGTTTTGAAAAACATCCTTATTTTTCAGTGAGCTCAGAGTTCTGTGCTACATTACTTCTTAGCAGAAGATTTAAAAAGGTATAATTATATTAGAGATTTCTTGTAGGTCACCAGTGAGCAGACTAATCCCTTGTATATCTTAAATAACTGTCAGAAAAAAGGACTTCCAGCTAAGTTCCAGGGTGGTTTTACAAACATTCTGTACATTGAACACAGTTTTTCCTACATTATGTCACTTTTTCCCATCAGTTTGGGGACTTATGCTCCTTACTTTGGCAGCATGCGGAAATCTCCTGAGTAAGCCTCATATTTGTAGTTAATGATGTGCCAGTCGGTGTTGTACATCTTGATGCACTGGGGATCAGAGAGCTGGATTAGTAGCAAATACAGTCAGATATAGAGGACAGCAAAAATGTACAGTTATTTTACTCTGTGGAGAACATCCATATCCCTTTTCTGTGAAGGAAACTGAAAATAGGTAGTATTGGTTTATAACGCCTTAAAGGTTACATCTGTTGTTTTTTTGCCTGATTTCAAAGAGGTCCTTGCCAATTTCTAGGCTGCATCACAATCACAAGAATCGACCAATGAGACCAGATTTAGAGCCGATAGAACAGTTCAATTGTTCATGTAAGGTTTTACATTGATGATTCTGATGATCAAAAAAAATCCTTTTGGCAGGTCTGAGATTACTAAAATCAAGTAAAGATGAGAATAAATACTGATTTTAGAGGAAACAGCTTCTTTTATTTATTCATGTTATTAATCCAACAGTAAAATAAATTCCTGACTCGGACAGCTGCATTCACAGAAAAAAGCTTTATTTCCCCTTTACTCACAGGATCTTAATAAATTGCATCCCTTAATATAAATTAAGGCAAGCATACCTCTTTAGCAAACAGGCTCCTGGCCTCTTGCTCAGCATTCTGAGGAACGGAGGTAAAGACCGTCCTCCTCTGTCGGGAGATCTGGGATTCCTGCATCCATGCAAACACGGCAACATAAACAAACCAAGACACATGGGAGCATTCATACAGAACACACTGAGTTTATAACCAGCAAAACCAGGAGAACAAAGTGCTTTGTAAACTATTTGTATCCCTCACTCTATTTCCTGTACATTTTTTAATCTTACAGCCATATGATTCAATCCATTTTAACAGCAATATTTGAGTTAGGTAAAAACATAGTAGTGGCATAAGGTGGTAATGACCTTAACAAGCTTAACTTTAGTCTATGCTGTTCAGAACACCTGCATCTTTTTAACTTAGCCGTCTGCTGATTGTTCAGTCTTCACATTGCTGTTTGCTCAATAATGTTCTCAAGAAAACCTATGAAGCCTTCATAGAAAACATATAATTGACCTGATCAGCCTCCATTTCCCTACAAAAAAATATCCCCACAGCATGCTACTGCCATTGCCATGTCCTCTCCAGGTAATTACCAGAATGTTTTCTTTGTTCAAAGCTTAAATAATATACTGATATTAACTAACCTGGATTTTCTTTCACCTGTTGGAATCTATTAAGATGTTTAAAGATTTTTCTGATTTATTACAGGTAATAACAAAAATATAAAGAAAATTCTAAAAGATACAAATGACTTTGTGTCTGCGTCACAACAGTGTTGGTGAGACACATGAAGTTCATGGGAACTCACCGAAACATCGTCAACAGGGCAGAGGAGCAGGTCTCTGTGGGGGTCACTGTGGATCTGGGCTTTCCTCTGAAACACCACCGCTTCGTAGTCCAGAGGCTCGATGATCTTCGGCTGCTCCTTTAACCACAACATTGGAAGGGATACGGGAGATGCATCGTTATCAGTCAAACTACAAGAACGGCTCAAAAAGTGATTTCATTAATCCAAAAAAAGTTTAACTTTTTTTTACGTCACTTGTGTCAAAAAGTGAAATTTATATGATTTGTTAAAAACAGAAAAATATTAACAGGTTTTTTTTTTTTTCTTGTAAGTTTGATTATCATGCTTTATACAAAATTAAAACAGAAATTTCCACAATTTCAAATAAAGAATGGTATTAGATCTGTGAGATGTCTCAGACAGCTACAAATTCACTAAAATGGAGGGAATTCAATTGGAAAAACTTAATTCGATTCTTTATCACACCATCTATTAAAAGTAAACAACTGTCCACCCGACAAATGTGTTGGAGGCAATTTGCCACGGCTGATGCCAACCATGCAAATGTTTTCTGGAACTGCATTGAGATAAAACCTTTCTGGTCTTCTATCCACCTTACTCTGTGCAAACTCTGTGCAAACTCTGTGCAAAGTACTTTTACTTTTACCACAATGCATCTGGGTCTTATGTCTAATGTGAATAAAGATGATCAATATTTGGTTAAGATATTACTGTCAGCAGTGAGGAAAGCAATAACAAGAAGATGCAAAAACCTGAGCCACTCAAACATACTCAGTGGATGGAGATTGTGGAGGAAATATTGACGAAGGAAAGAATGACCTTCATTTTAAGATTGAAAATAGCTCAATTTAAAGAAAAAAGGATAACATATAAATTGGCCTCGGAAACTGTCTGACTATCATGACAACCAGTTGCTGTCTTAGATTTGAGTGTTAATTTTGTTTTGGTTTTGTATTTTGCTGATGTTCAGAGGGCTGAGATCAGCGTATTGTTTCTTCTTTTGTCAAAAACAATAAAGACAAAAGTGGAAAAAAAAGAAAAAACCCTGAAATTTCAGAATCCCAGTAAGTAGGAAAGTTGAGTGGAAAGAAAAAAGCATTGTGGCCTGATGGGTGAAATCTGCTGCACTAATTTAACTTCAAATAAAAGAAACTAGGGCTGAAACAATGAATTGGATTCATTATAATTAATTGATTATTGAAATGAACGTCAACTAATTTAGTAATTGATTAATCGTTAAATGGAGAAT